CTGTTTCCCCCTTGTTGGTGGGGAGAAGCGATAAAAGCACCCAGTGCTCGTCACTGTTCCAGCCTCTCTCAAAGCTGGAGCAATCATGGCCCGTGGGACCGGAGAGAAGCCTGCAGGAGCTTCTGGAAAAAACTTCCTTTCTAAAGGAGATTATAGGAGGGAATGTAATATTCAACCATGCCTCCAATGCCAGGAACTTCAGCAGCTATCTTGCAACCACGAGGGCCTACGACAAAGGAATATGCAGACGGGCAGAAACATGCAGAGGGCCTGGCCTTTGATAAAGTCATTAAGCTACCACTCTCTCTTCTGCCTGAACAACAGAATCTGTTCTGTCTTCTGGTTAACACACTCTGGTTTTCCCCTGGGACACTCTCTTTACACCCCTCCCAGGAAAGGGAGAGTCTGCCTGATAGCAAAGCCAATATGGAGAAAAGTAGAGCCAAGAGAGAGAGAAAAATACCAGGGGTGCCAAAAAAACCATGTATACAAGTGGACACTTACGTCAACGTTGCTCAAGCAGTAGATCGTCATAATCAGAAGTGTCTGGACACTGATGATAACCATTTTGAGCACCTCGTGTAATTGCAGAAGTCAAACGTGACTTGTATTCATCTTTTGTTATCAGTATATATTGAGCATTACAATTTTAATAGTTTTTCCCTTTCTTAAAATGTGTATACATTTTTTTGGCACCCTCTGTACATTCCTTTAACAGCACCTGAATACTTGGACCCAGCTATGCCCAAAGCCAATCTTCTCAAATTTTCAGGTACACAAACTAATAAGTTCTCTTTCCAGCTTAAGCCGATGACAGTCTGGTTGCTATTACACTGAGAGTCCTGACTAATATGATTATTGAGCTTAAAGATGTGCCAGACACAGAAAACAAAGTAGTGGGNTGGGGGCAGCAAGACCCTATCATAGACGCTCGACAGGTTCAGTTTGAGGCTGGCCCGGGCTTCATGGTTGCCCCGGGAGGGCTGGGCAGGCTCGTGGCCCTCGCGGTCAGAATTTGGTGCTCCCATAGTGGTGATGGCCTGGAGCTCAGGGCCCCTGGAAGCCAGCTCCCCCATGGATGAGGGCCTATGGAGGGGCCTGGTCAGCTCAGCCAGGACAAGGTCCTCGCCGTCCTCAAAGGAGATGCTGTGTGACATCTTGGCATGAGAGCTGGCAGTGGCCTCCATGTAGGAGCAGGTAGAGGGGGTGTGAACACCCTGAGCCAGGCCTGGAGTGGGTAGGGCTGTGGGTGTCAGAGGCTTCCTGTCTGTTGACAGCACTGAGGAGGGGACACAGGATGCCAGGCGTGTGAGGCAGGGGGCTGTAAAGGAAGCAGCCAGTTCACTCTCACACCTCAGCCACAGAGCCGGTGGACAGGGCCCCAGCCCAGGAGGCTACAGGGTCTGAGTGGACCCTGCCCATCCCCACCCATGGTTCAGCTGGGCAGCCAGGGTGGTTTGCTGAGAGGCCCAGGGCTACTCCTCTGGCAGATGGGGACACTTACTCCGTGGGCACCAGGCCTCTAGGGTGTCAAGGGGCTCCTGAGCCTTCTCCCCGGAGGGAACCTACAAGCACAGCCTTGAGGTGAGGACAAGGTCTCCTGGCTCCCAGCCCTATGTCCCGAGGAGGTGGCCCTAGTACTCACGTTGGTCTTGCCTGGGGAGGCGTAGCCAGTACCTGCTCTCAGGGTCTCTGCTTTGGGCTGGCTCCCCCCGAGGTCTGTGAGTGTGACCTCCGGGGACTTCACGAGATGCAGGGGCAGCCGGGGAGGGAAGGTATGGGTGAGCCTGTGGGGAGGAAACCAGGCGGTTGTGTCTGTCCTGAGGGTACCTGAGAGGACACGGAAAGCTGGAAGGTTCGCTATTCACTAGCTCCTACCTGGATGTCTTCTGGAGGCGTGAGAGAAACTGGGCTGAAATGCTCAGCCGGGGATTTAAAAAGTCCTCGTCCTCAGAGGCCGTCGCGTCCCTTAGGGATCTGTGGAAGAGCTCTAGGGGAACATGGCAAAGGAGCCCTCAGAATCCCTCCAGCCAACCAGCCCTGGGCTCAGGCAGACCCACAGACCAGCAGGCAGCTCCTCAGGAAACCCATCAACAGACAACACAGAGCCACTGGAGCAGGGAGAGGAAACTGTGCGGCTCAGTCCTTAAGATAAAACGTATGCCCTCTCACCACCCTCACCAGCCCTGCTGGGGAAAGCCCTAGACCAGAGATGCCCACACTGTGCCCAGCACTGGATGGCATGCCCAGGAAGAGCTGAGAAGGGCAGAGCCCTACCCTCAGGGTGGGCCTCAGTAAGCGTCTCAAAGTGGTGGCGGAGGAACTTTTCTTGCTCAGGGGTCTGGGGCAGGGAGCCGTTGGATACGCCTGACACCTCAGGCCGGGTCAACTCTTCCGTGGTTCCTGGGCACTCTGGAGAAAGGCAAAGGGGGCTGGCAGGAGCGAACCTTCAACACCATGAGTCATGGCAGATAACCTGACAAAGACACCATACACTTAACAATGAAGAAAGCTGACTCGCCCAGCACACACCTTGCTGCCACCAGGCTGAGAAAGAAAAACTAATGGCTCTGTCTTCCAGGTGAGGAAATCGAGGCTCAGTGGGCGCCAGGTGTAGGGCTGATGTGGGGCCAGTACTTATGTATCATGACCATGCCCTAGCTAGGCTCATACACTGCCCTTCCCCTCATCTGGCCCGTTTACCTGGTGTGAGGGTCAT